GGCCAAGCATGGGCCTGCTGTGAATGGCCAGGTATTTGCCTATTACCCATAGCCCTTCAGAGAACAAGGGACCATGGCACATGATATCTCTGAACAGTGGGATCTCAGGCACCTGCAGGGCAATCCCAGAACAGCATTGTCCAGTAGAAATACAAAGTGAACTACAGATGTAAGTTTATATTTTCTAGTAGCCACATTAAAAAAGTTAAAAGAAACAAATGGAATTAATTTTAATGACATTTTCTGTAACCTAATATATCTAAAACATCAATTTAGCATGTAAATAATATACCAAGTATAAATGAGGTATTTTATAGTCTTTCTTTTGTACTAAGTCACTTAAGACCAATGTGCCGTTGGTACTTACACCACATCTCAACTTGGCCAGCCATGTTCCAAGGGCTCAATGGCACCGTACGGTGAGCAGCTACCTTCTTGGGCTATTCAGCTCTAGACAGGGTGGCTGTCCCCACACGTCACATCTCACCATGTGGTCAACATCCTACCTCCCTTACTTACAGGACTTGTCTAGAACATGTACAGCCTTTTAAAAATATGTTGCTGTAACTCTTCTTCCACTCCACCTTTATTAACACTGTGGTAAAATACATGTAAGATATATCATCTAACCATTTTAAGTGTCCAGTTCTGTGAGATTAAGTGCATTAACATTGTGTAACCATCACCACCATCCATTTCCATAACTTTTTCATCTTCCAACCTGAGACTAGGTACCTACTAAACACTAAGATCCCACTCTTCCCTCTCCCCTCAGCCTACTTTTCATCTCCATGGTTTGGATGACTCCAGGTACCTCATACAAGTGGAATCATATAGTATCTGTCCTTTGTAATGGGCTTATTTCATGTAGCATAACATCTTCAAGGTTCATCCATGTTGTAGCATGTGGCAGTCCTTCCTTTTTAAGGCTGAGTAATATTTCACTGTGTGAATATACCATATTTTGTTTCTCCATTCACTGGTTGATGTATATTTTGGCTGCTTCCACCTCTTGGCTATTGTGAATAACAGTGGGTATGCAATTTATCTCTTTGAAACCCTACTTTCCATTTTGGGGGGTATATACCAGAAATGATGTTGCTGGATCATACAGTAATTCCATGTTTAATTTTTTGAGGAACCCCATCCCCCACTTTTTAACTCAGGCTCACTGAGGCATAATTTACATACAGTAAAATTCACCCTTTTGGAGTCTACCATTTGGTGAGTTTTGACCACTACCACAATTGAGATTAGAAAGTTTCCAGAAAGTTTCCTGAGCCAGTTTGCAGACAAGCCCTGCCTGTCCTCAGCCTCTGACAACCACTGATCTGATCTGACTTCTGTGCCTACAGTCTTGTGAATTCCAGAATGTCATATGAAAGGAAGCCATACCATATATAGCTTTTGGCATCTAGTTTCTTTTCCTTAGCATGATGCTTTGGAGATTCACTCATGTTGTTGCATATGTCAGTAGTTCCTTGTTACTCCTGAGTAGGATTCTATTGTGTAAGGATGCCACAATTAGCTTACCCACTCACCAGTTGATGTAGGTGATTATGAATAAAGCATCTATAAACATTCTTGTACTTGTCTTTTTGTGATCTTATGTTTTCATTTCTCTTGGGTAAATGCCCAGGAGAGGAATGATTGGTATGCTTGCCCTTATTAAAAAAACTCCCACAACTTTTAAATGTCATTTAAATGTCATTTAAATGTCATTTAATGGAGCTTTGATGTCTTTAGGTTTGAAAACTTGAAATTTTGAACCCCACCCAGATTCCCCAATTTTCAACTGGGATACCAGAATCTGCAGATGCTTGAGTCCCAGTCCCAAATGGTTTAGTATTTGCATATAGCCTGTGTATATCTTCCCATACACTTTAAATCCTATCTAGATTACTTATAATTCCTAATGAAATGCAAATGCCATAGAAAGGGTTGTTGTACTGTATTGTTTAGGGAATAATGAGAAGAAAAAGTCTGTACAGACACAACCATAGTGGGCCTAACTACTTTTCAATCCATGGATGGTTGATGTGGAACCCAGATATAGAGCACCGACTGTACTTGGAAAATGCCCCTTGCCTCCTTCTTGGGGGAGTTGAATCTCTGGATACCCACCTATTTATTTCTCTGGGAAGGACCGAAATATCCCACACAATGTGTTTAGTAGATAAATAACAGATACTTTAAGGAGGAAAAGATTTTTTTTATTGAGTAACTTATACAGTCTTAGAGAAGGCCATAGAAATTTGTAGCACAGTGTTCGTAAAATGAAATAAATCGTTTCAATCTAGGAGAAAATGCAGCAATTCTAGAAATATTTTCCTACTTACTTTGCCATTGTTGATCACTCTGAGTGCTAAAAACATAATTAAAGAGAAAAACAGGGTTATACAGATACACAGCATACAAAAGCTAGATCATACTCTTCTAAAAAAGAAGGTAAATCTTTACTAGTCAAATAAGCTACCACCAAGAAAAGTTCAGAAAAATAAAAGAAGCAAGAAAAGCTAGCATGCCAAAGAAATCTGCCTAGGATCGCCAGCCCCATTAGGTCTAAAATTAAAATGTGCTCAAAACAAAAGGTTTCAGAATTTTAATGTGGAGAAATAGGAAGGAGTAGAAGTACTCTGCAGAGAGGAGAATGCATCCCTCTTCATGAGCCCAGTGCTCAGACCTAAAGGTACTTCCACCTGCCTTCCATCTCTGGCTGAATGGGGGCGTCCTCTGCTGCTACAACAGGCCTCCCTCTCCTGCCCACCTGGCGGGAGTCAGGAAGGGCAGCAAGGCCTCCCCCCCCCCTTGCAGAGCAAAGCATAATTCCAAGAACAGAGAAAGGAATGATGAGGCATGTCTGATTTCCCTTCTCATAGCCAACTCAGCTTTAGGGTATTTTGGGGGTCCTCTTGGCCAAGAGGGGGTCCATGCAGTCGAGGGAGATTAACATTTTATTTTAGTTCACAATAATAAGCAGAACTGCTTGTCCCCAGCAATCAGCTGGAACTAAATGCTTGTTAGCCAAGATCGGGTTAGGTTTCCCTCCTTCCCCCAAGGCCTCTGAATAAATTTCATCCCACTCTCAGCCTAAACCAGCATACAGCCTTTCCTGAGAGGTAGAATGTTCTCTGATCTACTATGTGATCCACCACTCTTTCATCCCACTCTCACAACACATTCTTTCTAGCTTTGTTTACTCCTCTCTAGAAAAGCAAAACTCTTTCTAACTCTTGTGATGGTCTCAGAGCTTACAGAGTATTCTCCCCATTGAAACAGTCTCTCTTCCTCACCTTGCAATAACCCTTTGGAATAAAGTTTGTCCCTGCTAAGTCTGGATTTGCTTTTTATTGGATGTGCTGAATGAATGAAACGACCGTAACTGATCAGAGAATGGCTACAATAATGCAGTTTGCAAATTCTGTTCTGACTTCTCTTGCCACTTTTAAATTCTGACTCTTGGACTTGCCAAATCCACCATGCCACGGCCAGTTGCTTTGGGCCAGAAGTACAGCTGGTGGCCGACAGCTGGGCCTCTGGAGTAGACACAGCAGGATTTGGATTTTGGTGCTGCCACTCCTCACCTGTGTATCTCAGGTCAAATCACGGAGCATCTCCCCTACTGAGCCAATATTAAATGAGCACTACTCGGTGCCAACACTGAGCTGGACACTGGAAGTTGAATGGTGAATGAACCAGGTGACAACCAGGGGCAATAAAACAAGTAAATTACCTGGGAAGGACTATAAAGAAATCATGTTCTCACAGAGCACAGAGGAAGCACCTATGTAGGGGGTGGACGGGGAGGCCTCCACGAGAAAGTGACTTATCTGAGGCCTAAGGGTTGACTTTTATTCTAAGTGAGATGGAAAGCCATAGAAAGGGTTTCTGAGATCTTGTTTTAATCTGTTTGTTTAATTTCATTGCTAGTGGGCTTTAATTTTCCCCCCTGATGACCATTTGAATTTGTCAGTTAATTATCTGCTCCTCTTCTCTACCCATTGATCTACAAAGGTTTTAGCATCTTTCTAACTCATTTCATGAGGTTTCTCTCTCAATTAAGTATCTTAATCTTTTGCCACGTTACATTTATTTTCCCCAGATTATCTGCTTTTTAATTGTGGATTCCCTTTTGAAGTAGAAGTTTTAAACGTCTGCACCTTAGTGTGTGAGAATTCTTCCACCACTTTTACTCACTTTTTAAATATCACTTCTCGAATCATTTAAAAATCATTTTTTATCATTTTATATCACTATTCAATCATTTTAAATATCAGTTTTATCCTTTATCAATTGTCCACCACTGGATATTTGATAAATATTACTCACCTTTTTTTGGTCCGTGTCGTCGGGGGCCACGGTTTTACTAAAATTTGTGGATTTTTCTTGCTTATGGGAGTCGGAGCAGGGCAAACACCCGCTCAGGCCCGGCCCTCAAAGGCCCGGACGCCAGACCCCGCACGAACACGCCCTGGCCCACGCGGACCGAGCCCGAGCGCCCTTTCCCCGCGGGAGGTCTCGGGGCCACCCACCCTCCTGGGCACCCGTCCCCGAGCTACAGATCATTACACACAGGCGGGGTCAAAGGCATCTTCTGCTGGCGAGAAAGCGGAGGCTCAGCGGAAAGCGGCGAACTTGGGGAGGGAGGAGTTAAAGTGTTTTACTGCACCGAGCAGAAGCAAAAACCGCAGCCAGGGCGGCGGGCGCAGCCCGGGGAGGCGGGAGGGAGGGGCGAGGGCCAAGTCCGGCAGCTGAGCCCCGCCCCCAGACTAGGCCCCGCCCCAGCCCCGCCCCCAGCCCCGCCCCGGGCCCGGCTGGTCCCCAGCTGAACTCCCAGCACAGCTTGACTCGTTTCAGTGCCCGCCCAACGCTGATTTCATTGGCTGCCTCGCAGGCCCCGCCCCCCGGAGAGCCTGCTGATTTTCGTAGCCAATCGCAGGCGCGGCGGCGGTGGTCGCGGCGGAGCCTGGGTGCTGAGGTACCGGGGCCTGGAGGAGGGAGCCGCGGTCCTGGCTGGGGGCTCACGGCGGCGCGGGGGCCCGGCCTCACTCCTCGGCTCGGGGGCGGGCCGCCACTCCCCGGCCTCCTAAAAGACCCAGCTGCGGCTGGAGGGGCGGTGGCCGCGACTGTCGAGGGCTGGACCCAGGTTGCAGGGGTTGGAGCTCGGAGGTCGGAGGTCGTGCCTTTGTGGAAGGAAGGCTGGGGCTCCGCCCGTGCAAGCCTAGGGGCGGGCCGCTCCCCGACTCCATGTCGGCTCCGCTGAGGCACCCCCTCCTTTCACGGAAGGGGCTCGGGGGAAGCCGGCCCGAGAGCGGCTGGAGCCCCGTGCAGGACCTGAGCTCGGACGCGAAAGCCGGCCCGACCTCGGGCTGCCGCCGAGGCCCAGCAGGTGACCGGCCGCCTCCCGCCCTCCCTCCCCGGGCGGCCCGGGCTCAGCGGCGTGGGTGCTGGGCGGAGGCCCCCGAGGGCCTGGGCGGGCCGGGTGGGGTTCGCGCCGGGGCCACGGGCTGTCGCGAAATGGGCCGCTGTCCGGTGGCTGTCAGTCCTCGTGTTTGAGATTTCATTTCTGGAACCTCCTCCGGACAATTCGGAGAGGGGAAAAGTGTATTGTGGCTTTGGCACTTGGCTCAAGATGAAAATAAAAACCAGACCCGGGAATGTAACGACTGCAAAGTGACCTGTGAGGAAACGGGACGAATTTCTCAGTGTGACAGGCGTTTTCCCCCTAACTTGCCCCACATGTTATATAAGTCAAGCTGTGTCAAAATAAGAGCATTTTAGTCTCATAGTTCTTCTAAGTGTCCTTATTATTGACCTTCTTAGTGAAAATACTTCAGAACACATAAAGTATTGAATAAGAATTTCTTGAACAAAGGTTCTGAGTTTAACTTTCTTGGTGCAAGGAAGCTGGGAACAGTCCTAACTTTTATTTTTTTTTTTTTTCTTAGACACTTCTTAGAAGTCAATAGTCCTAACTTTTAATTGCAAGGATTCCAACCACTTACTATGTTACTCTGAGACCAAAAATAGAAATCGTGTCTTTACATAGGTGGATTCGGGAGAGAAACAGCTATGGGTGAGGAGTAAGGGGAGAAGAAGGGGTATTCTTTTGTTTTCTGCACAGTGTGCAACTAGAAAAAAAGTGTTTATCTTCTTCCGTCTTGGCCAGCATGAGCACATTCTTTTTTGTACCGATGGTATTGAGTATTTGCAATGATTAGGAAAAGGAGTAATCTCTAACAAGAAGACACTTCTCTTTAATGCGGCCATAAAAGGATAACTATCCCTTATGTGTAATTAACTCAGGGGTTTGGTTTTCATTTAAGAAAATGAGGCAGAAGGAAGTGTTAAGCAAGACCTTCCAAGGCCCAGCTGTTGTCTGCAGGACTCCGACCAGCCATGTTTACATGTTTAAGAATGGCAGTGGGGACTCGGGGGACTCCTCTGAGGAAGAGTCACACCGTGTGGTTCTGCGACCCCGGGGCAAGGAACTCCAGAAGATTGGTGCCCACCACCCTCACCAGCCAGGAGCAGGCGACGTGGTGCTGCTGCAGCGGGAGCTGGCCCAGGAGGACAGCCTCAACAAGCTGGCTCTTCAGTATGGCTGCAAAGTAAGACACCCCTCTGGTGCTCTGCAGGGTAGAGGCCCTTGCTGCCCTTCTGACTCCCGCCAGGTGGGCAGGAGAGGGAGGCCTGTTGTAGCAGCAGGGAACTCCCCCATTCAGCCAAAGATGGAAGGCAGGTGGAAGTACCTTTAGGTCTGAGCCCTGGGCTCATGAAGAGGGATGCATTCTCCTCTCTGCACAGTACTTCTGCTCTTCCTCGTTTCTCCACACTAAAATTCTGAAACCTTTTTCTTTTGTTTTGAGCACATTTTATTTTAGACCTAATGGGGCTGGAAATGCCAGGCAGATTTACTCAAGATTTCTTTGGCATGCTAGCTTTTCTTGCTTCTTTTATTTTTCTGAACTTTTCTTGGTGGTAGCTTATTTGACTAGTAAAGATTTACCTTCTCTTTTAGAAGTGCATGATCTAGGTTTTGTGTACTGTGTATCTGTATAACCCTGTTTTTCTCTTTAATTATGTTTTTAGCACTCAGAGTGATTAACAATGGCAAAGTAAGTAGGAAAGTATTTCTAGAATTGCTGCATTTTCTCCTAGATTGAAACGATTTATTTCATTTTGTGAACACTGTGCTACAAATTTCTATGGCCTTCTCTAAGAGTATATAAGCTGCTTAATAAAAAAAATGTTTTCCTCCTTAATGTATCAGTTTTTTATCTAACAAGGTCCAAATAGATAAGCACATTGTGTGAGGTATTGCAGTCTTTCCCAGGGAAATAAACTAGCAGTCTCCAAGGACTCATAGTGGTCTTTAAATTATATTGACATTTATATTTGACTCTTATGATCAGCCTCTTTAGGATACCATATGATTTATAGAACATTTGCTGAAAACTGAATCCTTCCCTACAAAGACCTGAATGGATGGAGTAGGCTTCGTGGAATGGTGATGTCTAATAAATCTGTCAAGAATATATAATACCTCTGATAAGTGATCAGTGATCAGATTTCCTATTTGAAATAAATAAATTTGTTCTAAGTTTATTTGGGACAGAGAAAGATCTCAAGTATCTCATGTATTAGTTTCAGGACATAATAAATTAAAAATGTCCCCTACCCCAATTCAATTAAATGGTAAAAGCAGTTGCTAAACAGTTAAAATAATGGAAATGATTGATTTGAGTGAGGCTCTACTTAAAGATTTATTGTCTGTGTTTATTTCCTAGTGTAAGTGGACTTATGAGTTAAAACTTTAGAGTCCATCTCTGCTGTTTTTGGAAGGTTTTCAAACAGCCTGAGAGAGGGTTTACCTTTTGACTTACCTTTCCCCCACTTCTTAAATCTTCATGTTTGATTATTGTCATAAACTTTGTTACTTGATAAGACACAGTGGTGTTCATATCTTCTGATTTTGGCATAGAAGATCTCAGTGCATAGCTTCTAACTGGAGCCTTGATTCCCTGTATGTTTCTAATGATAAAATGTGTTGTGAAATTTTCAAAGTGAATTAACTGTAGATCACTTTTATTTAACCCTTTGCACTCGGATGTCGAGTGTGGATAATGTCAAGTGGATAATGAGAAAAAAGCAAGCGAGTGCAAAGGGTTAAAAAATAAGTTTACATATCCCACAGTACTTCTGGGAAAGAAAATCCTGAGGGCGCATCTCTCAAAATGTTATTACAGGTAAAGTAGCTTCTGAGTGTGTCTGTAGAGCTGGCTGAGGCTTTGCGTTTGGCACATGCTAACGTCTGGCCGCTACTTAGTTTGGTTCTGGTAGGAGAGGGAAGCCAGGCAGACGGGGGCACTATTGCCTCAAAAGTTAAAAGAAGTAGAAAGGGCTACTGCATTCATTTTAGTGCCATGATTGCATCTCACCTAAAAGCATTTTGTTGCAGTCACACTTTAAACAGTTAAAAATAAATCTGTTTTCCAAAACTGACCTTAAATTGTTCAAACCTGTGAATCTACTGGAAAATGTAATTATTAAGCTACATATCAAGGCTGTGTAAAAGCCAAAAAACAAAGTTATTCAGCCTAAACTAATTCTGTGTGTAGGTGCAGTTTTCCAGTTCGTCAGATTCATAAGTGAAGTAGGCTTGGATCATCACCCAGAAAGGTTAAGAGCCACTGTTGGATATTAGTTTTAAGGAGCTTCACATATTTTATGATGTTTGTCTTCCTGGCTTTCCTAGGTTGCAGATATCAAGAAAGTCAACAACTTCATCAGAGAACAGGACTTGTACGCTTTGAAATCTATTAAGATTCCAGTGAAAAACCATGGGATCCTAACAGAGACTCACAAAGAACTAAAACCCCTCCCGAGCCCATCTTCAGAAACCAAAGTGACCGTGGAACTGCTGGATCCAGACAGAGCAGCTGCAGGCCCTGATGCCGGCCCCAGCCGACTGACGGATTTCTTTAAGGGAATTGACCAGAATATTGAGCATGTGGTGCAGTCGGAAATCTTTCTGCAAGAAAGCTGCTGCGGAGAGACCTCCAATCAGCCGCTGCTCCCAGCCCCTCCAAAGACATGGATAAATGGTGCAGACTGTGGAATTCAATGGTGGAATGCTGTTTTTATCATGCTTCTAATTGGGGTTGTTCTGCCAGTGTTTTATTTAATTTATTTTAAAATGCAAGCTACTAGTGAGACCCCTAATAGCTTGAACACAACTGACATCCCCAATGGCTCAATGGCAGTGGGTCCAGTTCCAGGGCAAGCCCCCGGATTAGTGATTCCAGTGCCAACTGTCGCCTCTTCAGACGGCCAGTTCAGTCCGACCATGCACCCAGGGGACTAAGCTGCTGTTTTTCAAGAATCAGCCTGGCTTTAGCAGCTTGGCATGATTAGCTGTTACCAGTCATACCCTAGGGCTGCTGCATTTCATTTCCAGAGACAGAGGACACCACCAGAGTGTTGTCAATCACACCAGCCCTGAAAAGTGGCTTCACCTAAGGCAAGGCTGCAGGATCCAAAGCCCCAGTGCCCTCACACTCCTGTAACCAGAAGGCTGCAGCAACAGAGCCACTTACATGTGACACGTGGCCATTTCTTGAAGACATTTAGTGGACTGGCTGAGAGCAACTTCACAGTGGCACTATGTGGGCCTCCAAGCCGGATGTGCTTGGAGGGAGGGCAACGGCCTTGGCCAAGGGACCTGCAGTGTGGGAGGCCCTAGGGTGGGCCCGCGTTGCCTGGCTCTTGTGGTCTCCTGCCTGCTGTGGCAGGGGTGGGGGGTAAGGGGGGAAGGAAGTGTTGTGCTGTGTGTCCCTGCTAAAGGTGCTGTGGAATAGTCTTGGTGTGTCACCTTGTTTTAGAGAGTGCCAAATTACAGTTGTAACAAGCCCTACTCCATAATTGCCTCATCAGCCTTTTTGAGGCAGTCAGTGCCATTTCTAGAATTGAAAAAGCCCCAAATCCAAACTGCTATACTGTTAAATAAACAGCATTTCTATTCCTTGTACTGCAGAGCGACGGGTACTTAGTGTGACACACAGCCGTGTCTTAAGCCGAACACCCGGGGCCACTGCCCAGGTCCACGTGAGGAGCCTTCCCCTGCTGTGGCTGCCTGCATGCTCCAGGTCAGCATTCGTGGAACGAGCTCCTGCTGGCCAGTGTCTGGAGAGAAGGGTGGGCGCCTGTCACCGAGCTGCCACGTGTGCATGAGGCCGAGCAGCAGCCAGGCTGGCATTGCTGAGAGCAGAAGCCCCTGTGTGCACCTGGAACACCGTGTTGTTCCTGCTGCTTCCCTGATGCCATTTTGGGGGACTCTAGAGCTAGAGCACAAGACTGTGGCCTAGAGGTGACTGTTGTGAAAGGCTGTAAAAAGAGGGGTCTCATACTTGAGGGAGGAAGGGGCCTGAGGTTTGCTGTCCCTTCCCCTGACAAGATGACAGCAGTGCTGCTGGTGGGGTAGGGCCATGGGACAGGCCTAGAGCCTGCTGCTGCCTTGGAGTCGGTCCGCTGGGTCGCAGGGGGGGTGGGAGGGGCTGAGGCGGCTGGGCCTTCGGCCTTGGAGAAGTCTGGACAGGGAGCAAAACACGCAGCCTGAATGCCCAGCTTCGGGATGGTTATGGCATCTGACACCTCAGGCCTAGATGCCACATAGGAGGAAGGGAGCGTGACCAAAGAGTACCTTGGGACAGGCTCCCAGTTTCTTCTCTCAGTCGTGTGAAAAAAACAATCAGCCCAGGGTTTAACCACTTCGGACTGTGCTCACTGGCTGCCAAACCTTGCCCACAGCCGGCTCTCATAGTCCGCACGGTAGTTTGTGCTGTGCACTGATGACGAATCCGTTTTGCTCTTGTGTGATGAGGAGAGCTTGGAAGCACTGAAAGCTTGTTTTACTTTACTGGCAGCTTTACTTGTAATGTAAATCAGAATAGGTAGCATATACAATAGGTAACATATGTTTTCATTACGTTATTTTTAAATGTTCACAATTTTATTTTGATAAATGAAAAATTAAATTCATGTCACGGTTGTTGGCTAAAGTCGACGCTCGGCTGTGCGCATTCATCTGTGGCTATCGACTATAGTCAATGCTGGTACTGAAGTGGTTAATTAGCACATTTAAATTATCTTCAAAATTAAATGTTTTCTTAGAGACCAAGATGAACTTCTGAACATGTTGCTACAGGAAACATATTGATCATGCCTTTCCAGCCAAATGTTTGTGCTCACTATGCCACTGAGGGCCACAGGTTTCTCTGACCTCTGTCACCATAACTTAACCAGACAGGGTGCAGGGTCCCGTGGGAAAATCACTTTTGAGAGGCAAACTTTTCTCAAATGGAATAAAATCATTTCTTCTCTGAAGGAAAACCATCCCCCTTTTTTGATTTGGGGGTTGATGATTCTGGGGAGGAGGATGACTGGCTTCACCAGGCTGAGCAGGGGCACAGGGCTGGGGAGAATGTGGACACATCCAGTCTGGCCTGTTCTCCAAGAGCCAGCTAGATACAGTGCTAGATACAGTGGCGCTACTGCAAGGTGAGGCCAGCCTCCCTGCCTCCTGCATGGCCAGTCAGGCCCCACTACCCCTGGAAGGACCAGGGTGGTGGCAAAGTGCAGCTCCAATCTGCGACCTGTACCCTTTCCCATTCCTGCGCAGAGTTGCAGAGGGACTGCCACAGCAATGCCAGTGTGTGTGGGTTTGGGGATGGGGGGATGGTGGACTCCTTATCACAACCCAGGGGAGGCTTTTGCCAGAACTGTGAAAAGCACTGGATTTTTTTTTTAAGTCACCATTTCACTACCCTGAATAAGGAACACATGCTACTTTTCATCTACTCATCCTTCCATAAACCTTCCAGAACACCAGTTATACCAAGAGGTGATGCAGTAACATGACATGGCCACTACCCTCAAGGTGCTTATAACCTAGTGGGATAAGAACTAAGCAAGAGTGGAGATGGGGTACAACATGCTAGGCCCCATGAAACGGAAATGGATGACCAGTGGGTGATGAAGCAAGAAAGGCTTTCTAGAGGAGGTGACATTTCCTTAGTTGACACCTGAAAGAAGGGCAGGCTCTAGTAATATGGCAGTGGATGGTTCTCTTCAAAGAATTCTTAGTGTGAGCAAAGGCCTAGCGGCTGAAAACCATGGAGACCAGGGAACTATGAGTGGCCTAGTGGCCTGGCATGAGGAGGTGTAAATGGAATGGAGGGAAAATGTTGTAGTAATAGTTTGGGGCCAGGTTCTGGGCAACCTGAATTCCATATTTAAGTAATTTAGACATTTTATTTGATGGACAATGGGAAGCTATTGAAAGTCTTTGAGGGCCAGGTGCGGTGGCTCACACCTGTAATCCTGGCACTCTAGGAGGCCGAGGTGGGAGGATTGCTTGAGCTCAGGAGTTCAGGACCAGCCTGAGCAAGAACGAGACCCCATCTCTACTAAAAAATAGAAAAATTAGTTGGGTATAATGCCATGTGGTCCCAAGTACTCAGGAGGCTGAGGCAAGAGGATTGCTTGAGCCCAAGAGTTTGAGGTTGCATTGAACTACGATGATGGCACTGCACTGTAGCCTGGGAAACAGAGCGAGACTCTGTCAGAAAGAAAGAAGAAAGAGAAGAGAGAGAAGGAAAGAAAGAAAGTCTTTGAGTAGTAGAGCGCTGATGAGCGCTGAATTTAAGTACAGCAATCCCACAGTCTGGAGAGGCTTGGTTGGAGGAATGGAGACCTTAAGAGGTGACTATCTCAATTTGTACCCATAGGACTTTAGTTTACAGAGGTGACTGAGTGACAGCATGGAGAGGTTGATGCCATTGCAAGAAGTGTTATTACTTATTCCTGAGAGAATGAGGCATGCCAGGCCACACAGAGCCACACGTGGTTTGGCACCAATGTTGGTCAGGAGGCAGGAGGCAGGGGAAGGCGTAGGCCAGAGTCTTCATTGTGTTTCTGTGGGAAGACCAGGCAGGGTGGGGTACGCAGTTTAGGACTGGCTAGTTAGAATAATTCCCGTGATCTCTGAGGTATAGGGGCTGCCCCTAGTTGTCTGGTACCTGGCCCTAGAGTGATTTAGGGCAGAGGGAATATTGCTTTGGTGTGTGAGAGTTTGTCAAGGAGATGGTTGGGGGTGTGGGCTCTGGATTGGTTAGACTGGTTGGCAGGCTGGCAGGCGGACCTTAACTATCCCTAAGAACTGGTGAGCCCGGGCAGGGGCAGTCTCCCTCAGTCAGCAAGGCCATAATGCCAGAGCATCAAGAATACAGAAAATAAGAAAAAACATTTACTACAAATGGCCCTGACATGAACAGATGTCAGAAAGTCAGGTATACAATCTCAGAAAACAGAGGATAAATGATGCAGATCAGAGTTTGCAATGTGATTACGATGACCCTTGGTATGGTTATTTTCATAATTCTTCTGTTTGGGTCTCATTAAATTTCTTGGATCTGTAGGTTTATATAATTTCATCTAACTTGGAAACATTTCAGCCATTATTTCTTTGAAAAATTTTTTCCTCATTATTCTCCTCCAATTATAGATAAATGAGACCATTCATTTATGTTTTATTCATTTGTTATTGTTAGTGTCTTCTGTTTTATTCTGAAGAGTTTCTATTGTTGTTTTCCTTTGCAGTGCCTAATCTACTTTTAATCCCATTCAGTGCATCTTTCATTATAGGTATTTCTAATCTCTAGGAGTTCTATTTGGGTCTTTTTCATATCTTCCATTTCTTTCTTCATTATGCTTATATATTCTCAAACATATGGGATATATTTATAACAGCTGTTTTAACATCCTTAACTGCTAATTCTATCATTTGTGTCATTGTGGGTCTATTTGTTGATTTTTCTTCCCCTGGTAATGAGTTGTATCTTCTTGTTTTTATGAATGTCTGGTAATTTTTGTTTGGATGCTGGACATGGTGAGTTTTATGTTGTTGTATGTTAGATTTTGTTGTCTTCCTTTAAATATTTTTGTGCTTTGTTCTGGGGCATGGTTGCTTGGAATCAGTTTGATCCTTTTGAGGCTCGGTTTTAAGCTGTGTTAGGGCAGGTGCAGAGAAGCCTTTAGTGTAGGGCTAATTCAGCCCTGTTAGTATGGTAATACCCTTCTGAAGATTCTACCAATGCTGTGTGTGTTAGGAGGTCTCACCACTCTGGTCTGGTGGAAACACAGATGCTTCCTGCCCCTGGGTAAGCTCTGGGAACTTTCTACTTTTTTCTGTTGATTCTTTTCCTGGACTTTGATTTCCTCACAAGTAGGTACAGACCAGTACTCAGCCAAAAACATGAGGATCTCTGTTTCCCCCTCTTCAATACTCTACTCCCACAAATTCTAGATGCCTTGGCTCTCTTGAACTCCAAACTCCATCTCCTCAACTCAGCAAGAGCACTGGGCTCTGTGCTGTGGTCTGGAAACTCTACGGGCAGTGAGCTGGGGCACTCATCAGTTTCACCTGTTTTATTTTTCTTCCTCTCAGAGATCACTGTCACCGTCTCTTATCTTTTGTTTGAAGTGAAAGAATACATGTGGTCCCTGTTATTCTATTATAGCCAGAAGCAGAAGTTCATAGGTCAGAGTCAGGGCAGAGGCAGCCAAAATGGTGGCAGTAGAGGGCAAGACTGATTCAGAGGCAGAGCCAAGGCAACAGGCCTGTCGGTGGACTCTTGAGTTGGTGAGCCTGGACTGGATCATGGGATAGGAAGTCAGAAGAGGCAGATTTTCTTGGAGGGTCTTGAGAATGAGTCTACTAGATCCTGTACACTGTGAGACTGTTGCTCTGGAGGTGTGAAGTTGACTTAGCTCAAGAAACATTATCACATTCTCCCTGTGTCAAGAGCTAGGCACCCTGGTTTTGAGTGTGTCAGCTCAGCTGAGTAGTTGGAAAGGCCATGTGCCAGCAGTCCGGGACGTGGCGGTGTTATCCTTGTTCCTTATTGCCACTTTGAGATCACTGTTCCTCCCTAGATCCTCCTGCTTCTTTGAAGCATGTGTTTTTAGTAC